ATAGACAAACTTCTAACTAAAGTCTAGTTTCAAACACAGACCACACTTCTAACTAAAGTCTGTTTTAAACATAGACCACACTTCTAACTAAAGTCTGTTTCAAACACAGACCACACTTCTAACTAAAGTCTGTTTCAAACACAGACCACACTTCTAACTAAAGTTTGTTTTAAACATAGACCACACTTCTAACTAAAGTCTGTTTCAAACACAGACCACACTTCTAACTAAAGTCTGTTTTAAACATAGACCACACTTCTAACTAAAGTCTGTTTTAAACACAGACCACACTTCTAACTAAAGTCTGTTTCAAACACAGACCACACTTCTAACTAAAGTCTGTTTCAAACATAGACCACACTTCTAACTAAAGTCTGTTTCAAACATAGACCACACTTCTAACTAAAGTTTGTTTTAAACATAGACCACACTTCTAACTAAAGTCTGTTTCAAACACAGACCACACTTCTAAATAAAGTTTGTTTTAAACATAGACCACACTTCTAACTAAAGTCTGTTTCAAACACAGACCACACTTCTAACTAAAGTTTGTTTCAAACACAGACCACACTTCTAACTAAAGTCTGTTTCAAACACAGACCACACTTCTAACTAAAGTCTGTTTCAAACACAGACCACACTTCTAACTAAAGTCTGTTTCAAACACAGACCACACTTCTAACTAAAGTCTGTTTCAAACATAGACCACACTTCTAACTAAAGTCTGTTTTAAACATAGACCACACCTCTAACTAAAGTCTGTTTCAAACACAGACCACACTTCTAACTAAAGTCTGTTTCAAACACAGACCAAACTTTTAACTAAAGTTTGTTTCAAACATAGACCAAACTTCTAACTAAAGTCTGTTTTAAACACAGACCACACTTCTAACTAAAGTCTGTTTTAAACATAGACCACACTTCCAACTAAAGTCTGTTTCAAACACAGACCACACTTCTAACTAAAGTCTGTTTCAAACACAGACCACACTTTTAACTAAAGTCTTTTTTCAAACATAGACCACACTTCTATTTAATGTCTGTTTCAAACATAGACCATACTTCTATTTAATGTCTGTTTCAAACATAGACCATACTTCTATTTTATGTCTGTTTCAAACATAGACCAAACTTCTAACTAAAGTCTGTTTCAAACATAGACCACACTTCTAACTAAAGTCTGTTTTAAACATAGACCACACTTCTATTTAATGTCTGTTTCAAACAGACCACACTTCTATTTAATGTCTGTTTCAAACAGACCACACTTCTAACTAAAGTCTGTTTCAAACATAGACCACACTTCTAACTAAAGTCTGTTTCAAACACAGACCACACTTCTAACTAAAGTCTGTTTCAAACATAGACCACACTTCTAACTAAAGTCTGTTTCAAACATAGACCACACTTCTAACTAAAGCCTATATGATGTTTATGGTACTAAATCCACATTTGTATTGATCAACTGGCATTCTTTGAGTGATGTGTTCAATATTGTGCTAGCAAGCTTTACTTCCTAAAACATTTTCTATTACCTGTGTTAAGCTAGGTCGACCTGAAGCCCAGGTCACTGAAAAGAGATTCCCTGCATTGATTTTACTTCCTTTTAGATTGTTATTATACTTTTTGATGTATCCATAGCATTCAGTGAGTCCAGATCAGTATGTGAATTCTTTGCCGAGGCCTGGAACACTGCACACGAAATCTCTACTGGAAAAGCTGACTGGATTTCAAATGATACTCAGAGACAGCTTTACCTGAACTTGAGTTTGAGTGTTTTGAAGATGGAGAACAACGGAAGGTTTGTTGTAAATGCACATAGGGGACCTGAATGGTCTTCAGTATAGTTCTCTGTTAGGTGTAAGCTGCTATAGGGTTGGTTGTATGGGTGCCTACATGTGTATGAAAGAAAAATAGATGGAATGATTTAGAGAGGGTGGGGGTCAATAAGAGAGAGAGAGAGAGAGAGCAAGACAAAATGTGTTAAGAAGAAAGATAGAGAAAGTGGGGTTGAGAGAAAAAAGAGATTATGAGAAAGAAAGTGTGAGGAAGAGAGAAATCCAGAGAGAGAGAGAGAGACAGACAGACATAGAGAGAGAGAGAGAGAGAGAGAGAGAGAGAGAGAGAGAGAGAGAGAGAGAGAGAGAGAGAGAGAAGAGAGAAAGAAAGAGAGAGAGAGTGAGAGAGAGAACCAAAGAAATAACAATCTATACTCATTTGACATTAAAAATACTTCTTAATTTTGAGCTGTGGTCATTTAGTGTGACTAAAATTGACAAGGAACTAACTAAATAAGAAAACACTGGACTCTGAGAACCAGTGCAAAATTAAGTCAGTCAGATGCCGTAGCAACAATAAAAGTTACCTGCCTGGATCTTCAAGGCTGTTTCTAACCCTGGCTGTACATACTCTCAAACAAGTGTTTGTCCATCTCTTGATGTTATCCTTCCACTGGCAGCTAACAGTCAGAATGAATTGTGTTCTGACCAGTTAGACTTTAAAGTTAACTGTTCTCATAAAGATGGCTTAATAGTTTTGAGAAAATACAGGCCACTAGAATAATACTGAGCAGCACACATTGTGTGTGTGTGTGCTGTATTTGTACTGGTTAATTATCATCATCATATAGCAGGTCCTTTGTAGAACGTCGCTCTCATCATGGCCCGCCTGAAAGAAACTGAGTCTCTTTTCAGCTCTCCCACCTCATTACTTTCATACCCAAGGAGTCACTTATATCCTGTGCCCAACTTCGTGTCGGTCGGCCCCTGTCCCCCCTTCCTGGTACCATGCCTTCTGCTATAATTTTCTCCAATCTGTCGTGGCGCTCGATATGACCAAAATATTTCAGCTTTCAAGAAAGGATGCTGTTTATAAGCCAATCTTCTTTGATGTTCAGATCTTTTAAGATGTCAATATTTCTCATCTTCTTTGTCCAAGATATTCTGAGAATCTTTCTATAGCATTTAAGCTCAAAAGCCCCTATTCGCTTTCCTAAGGACTGGGAGATAGTCTTTGATTCACATCCATATGTTGCTACAGGGAAGATGCATGCTTTCAAAATTCATATTTTGATCTCATTGCTGGGGCTTAACCAAAGTCTTTTAAGGCTGTTCAATCTTTGCATTGCTATGGCCATCCTCCTTTTAATTTCTGTCCAACAGTCTCCATTTCTATTTATTATAGAGCCTAGATATTCAAAGTTTGTGACATTTTCAATTTCTTTATCATTTATTATTTTTTGGGGACAGCCAGTTTAATCTGTGGACATTATTTTCATTTTCTTTAAATTCAAGAACAGATTTTGATCTTCACTGTGCTTTTGGACAGACAATATTAAATTTTCTATTCCCTTTACGCTGTTCGAAAGGAGGACTGTGTCATCTGTGTAGCGAAGTTCCAGAATAGGGTTGCCACCAATTTTGAGCGAATCATAACTGTCACAAGTCTGGTCATTTTTGACATTTCTCATTATTTTTCTGCGTATATATTGAATAGGTATGGTGAAAGAATGCACCCCTGCCTTCCTCTTTTTTGCACCTTGAACCAATTCAATGTTTTACCAGTTGCTCTGATGGCTGATTGTTGTTCATGATAAAGATTTTCAATTAAATGCACTAGAAACCCCGATTAATTATTGTAACAGTAAATTAAACAACAATATCCTGTTCAAATCATCTGGGTTACATTTTGAATATAAAGTCGTTTGTCTTTCAATAATGAATATTTACATCAATCAGTTATATTTGATTATTCAATATTGCAAAGCTCGTGTGTGTATTGTATAAGATTGTAGGAGTATACATTGTCAGCATATTTTAAATGTACTTTCAAACATTTATAGGAATTATACTGTGTAGTCTGTCCCTAATAGATGTTTAATATGATCTGGGATACTATTATTCTGTCTAAAGATACATTGACACCTCATAATATGTTCTTGTTGCGTACTCTTTAATCTTTCTCTGTAGCTCTCTAGTGTCATCTACTCCAATTGTTTTCTATTTTCATAGATTTATTGCAGTAAATCAGTAATTCATTAAGGGAGTCATATGGAATTCATATTTCTTGCAGTATAGTACTGATTTATAATGTTGCTGTCTTGTTCCTTTAACTAAAACAGGTTGAAAGAATATGAAATTCTATATCTTTGATATATTTTCAATGTTATCAGATTATTTATTTCTTCGCATTCCAACTTTTTTTTTTTAAATGTTTAATTTTCCTCATCCTTAAAGTTAACATAGTTTTGATTTATGCAATACACTTTATAAATAACTAGAGGGCAAAGTTGTGGGCAGGTCAACAAGGGTTAGACAAGAATAAAACTATATGACAGAAAAGGTAAATTCATTTAGCAGAAGTTAATTTTGCTACCAGGTCAAAAACCAAGGGTCCAAATTCATTTAGTGGGGGATGGTTTTGTGTGTGTTTTGTGTGTGTTTTTTGTTTGTGTGTTTTAAGCTTACCTTGGCTTCCAGGTTGACCCAGCCTAAACTTGGAACCCGATAATGTCCTCAGAAGAATATCCTGGGAAGTAGGGGCACCCTGTGCAATGTTGACCAAATCACCCATTGAGTATTGATTGGCCTCTAAACAAAAGAGATCCAGCACTATATGCCTGATGTGCCAAAGATGTATATAAAAAAAAGGATGTTTATCGTCTGCTGTAAGTTAATGGGGCACCACTATGATATACAGATCTAAAGGTCGTAGGTTCAAATCCAAACAGAGCCAGATTTTTGTTTGCTTTGTTTTTGTTTTAAATTACCCTGGCTCTCAGACAGAAGGGTACCAGATAAAGTTCTAAGAAGTAATGTGGCCACATCACTCACAGAGTGCTGAATGATATATAGAATATATGTCTAGCACTGTATACTAAATATGCCTGAAGATGTAGAAAAGGGTCATTTACTTTACCAGTGAGCAAATAGTGAGTTGCCTGGCTCTGAAGGAGTTGAGTACATCAACATTAAAATGTTTGAAATTGTAAATACTTTCAG